TTCAAACTGACTGCATGGCCAACGTTTTTACAACAATTAGATAAGTTTGAAAATGTCGTTTCTTGAAAAATTACCGTCCGGATAAACGAGTCATTTTTCAATGAACTATTATGTTTTGTAGTAGAAATTGACCGTCCGGATACGGAACGCGAATTTCCGGATTAATGAGACAAAATAACGTGAAAAAAATCGGTTCCCAAAAAATATCGTCCGGATTGTGAAGCGTCCGGATAAACGCGGCGCCACTGTGTATATATATATATATATATATATATATGTGTGTGTGTGTGTGTGTATATTGAAGAGTCATATGTCTATTTTATGTACATGTTTATATAGGTGCATGTATGTCTAAACGATTTTTCTTCTTTCTTTTTCTTTTAACTATATTTTAGGCCTTTCTCTTGTAAATTTGTTCCCTTTATGCTCATTTGGGCACTGAATTAGTAATAAAACATATCTATGAATAGAGTGATATTGTTAGTCTTTTGAGGTTCTTTACAAATATTTATTAACACATATACAAACACATATACAGATCCGTAGGTTCTGGCCCGGGCCGACTCCCCGCTCCGCTGCTGTCCCTGACACGTCCTGTCAGCTCGGCATCCACGTGTAGAAGAGGTCCGTGCGACTGTCCCGCCGTCTGAAGTAATACAGACAGTCGTACCACGGGACAGTCGCACAGATACTACACTCCCCCCCTGTTTTCTTTGAAAGGCTGGAGTCTACCACAGGAAAGAGGGTCCGGAACCATCTCCAACGTTGGGGCGTTGTAAACACCCTCCCGGGCTAACTGCCCAAGAAATACAAGTGCCAAAGCAAGCTCCAGGCAAAACCACACCCAGGATTAATCCTAGGTAACAAGTCCGGGATTACTCCCAACCAGGTGGTATGTCCGGGATAATTCCCAGACAATCATCCTACATCTGTTTAACGATAACCAAGTGGACCAAGGTCATCAGGCCCACTCACTACTGAGAAACTGTGACACCAGTCACACCATCAGGCCCTGGAGGGTAAACTCACCCTCCGGCGTCGCCCACGCCTCCGCCTTGATCTGTATAAACGACATGCACTGTTCTCCTCTGGTGTCGCACTGTCAGACGAGGGACTGCCAGAATCATATGGGGTTGTCCCCACTTCCGCAACATGGTCCTTCATGACCCTATCTATATCTACCTCCAGGGTGGAGCCTTTGTCCACAGAACTCAGTGATCCCACAGAAACTAGACCATAGGCCGCCTCATTCGAAGGTTGGGCTGGTCTTGGGGAAAGAGGTGTAACACTGATATCCTCAACTGCAGAATCCAATAGAGACTCCTCCACCATCTCTACTTCCAGGCATGGCACGCACAGGCTAACAGCAAAGCCTTGAGATTGGCGTGACTGCCCAGTTTGTATACAGGTCTCCTTCCCCTCATTCTCGGGTGACACCTGATCAGAACTACCACGGCTGGTCCTCCCAAAGACCTGAAACTCCCTAGTCCTATCCCGGGCTGGTCCAAGTGGCTCCGGAGTGGAGTGGGGGGCCACAAGCTTCCCCACTTCCTCGTCCAAGGATGCCTCTTCCTCCTCAGCTGAGAATAGCTCCGGCGATTGGGGCGTCTCAAAGTGGACCCTTAGCCTGCGCCGCTTGCGCCTACGCCGCCTACAGGAGGGGGTTGACTAGCCCCCTGCTCCTTACTCTCCGAGTCAGTCCTCTCTGGGGACTGCTCTGGGTTCATAAATCGAACTGCCTGGGAGGGCCCTCCCTGGGATCCAGGCCTTCCACTCCTAGGTCCCCTCTCCTGGGACTCAGGCCTACGATACCTCTCACCAAGGGGTCCCTTCATCCGGGCTCCGCCCCGCGGCCCATCAGTGGCTACTGTCTTCCCTGTAGCTCGAGTGGGGCAATTTCTACGGAAATGCCCCACCTCTCCACACTTAAAACACACAGAAGGCTTCCGCTTATGAGCCGTCCATCTGGATGGCGGGGAACCAGCCCTCCGAGGTTTCGGAAAGGGGGCATATCCTTTCTGCCTCAGGGCCTCCTCAAGTTTCTCTATCCTGCTCCGGAGAGCTTCAAGCTCCCCCCTAGCATCCACATTTCCCATCCCAGGATCATCCCGTCCAGTGTCCTCACCGAGGATCAACTTCCGCACCTCTCTCTTGGCTTTAGGCCTATGTAGCCGGGAGTGCTGGTAGTATTGCATTCGCTCCACGGCTTCCTCCACAGTCCGGGGATGTCCGTCGAGGGCGTAAAGGCCAGCATCTCGGTACTCGGCTCCATAACACAGCCTAGGTATGGCGTGTGTGTGCACGTCCGGCACACAAGGGAAGGCTCGCGTTGCCAAGGTCAGCACCCTGTCTGCCCACTGACGAAGTGACTCTCCTGGATTCTGATTGGCAGCCTGGAAGTTGAGTTGATGAGTGAGATAGGGGGCAGAGGAGCCAAAACGCTTCTCAAATCTCTGCAAGATCTCACCTAGGTGGAGCTGGCTACTGGTTTCTAACAGCAAGGTGTAGTATTCGCTTGCTGCCCCCTCAAGGCAGAAACAAAACTGGTCGTGCTGCTCCTCCTCTGTCCATAGCTGGCTGCGAGATAACCTAACGAACTTGTGCAAAAATGCCTTCCAACTGGTCTTACCATCATACCTAAGGTCCTTATACCGGGGCTTACCCCCAGTGGCTGCCCTACCTGGGTATGGTGTGGTGCCCTGGTAACCAGGTGAGCCATAATGTATTGGTGTACTAAAGTTGCAAGCCTGGTTAGCCGGGACTGACTGACTAGCATAGTATCCCGGATGGGCTGCCCCATACATGTTAGGTTGAACATGTGCTATCCTCTCCCCCTCCCTTCCAAAATGGCAGGCTGGGGTATCGGGATGGGCAGGACTACAATTCATTGACACAGGAACACTATGGTGCTGCAGTGCATTGGGCATAGCCATACCATGGAGTGTGGCTGGAGTACTCTCGCCTCGGTACAACACAGACTGGGTGTGGTCGGGTACTGGGGGTTGGGCATGCCTACCCCCAGGATTGATGTACTCTGATTGGGGCACATGATAAGGTGTGCTTGGGGAACTAGCATACAATGATGTAGGTTGGGGTCTGGCAGCAGTCACACCAGTGTTTAAAGGATTTACTTGTAAATGAACCATTGCTGGTGACACTCCAACATTTACAGGGGCTGGGGCAGATATAGTGCGTGGCATTGAGCTCCGGGGTTGCAAATCATCCCCAGGGAGAAAGGGCGCACCAAAATCTGCTAGTCTAGGTTGGCTCTGTATGGGTGCAGGGTCCCAGGTGAGCCCTACAGGATCTACGGGCCTCACATGTTGACGATCATACTCGGAGGTGAGCTGTGCAGGCCTCATAGGCCTCTCAGGTTGCTGACTAACACACGGTGTATGGGACGGAAGGGTGGGGTCAAGTGGGTGTGGTACAACCTCACCCAAGCGGCTTGGTCTAGCCAGAGTAGCAGGGCCCCCCAGGTTAGCTGTCTCCCACAAGGACAGGGTGGCTACTAACTGAATGCACATGCCCTAAAGAATATGGATGCTCTAACCCTGAATTTGAAGGGGCCTCACTATATTCTTGTTTAGGTGGGCTACAACCCACAGTGCTACCAGGTGAGCCACACCTACACGGGCTACCTAGAGAGGCCTCCAGGGAATCACTGGTCATCATCCCTGGTGAGCCAAATTGATTCTGGGCAAACCTTACCTCTTTTTCTGACTCTCCATGTAATACACTACCCTCCCCACAGGGGATGCCCGAGTGCAGGCCGGGCATAGGTGTAGAGGGGCCCCCCAGGGGCAACCCCCCTCCCATGTGACCTGACATTGACTGAGCAAAAGGTGTGTGACGGGAGGCAAAATGCTCACTCCCGCTATAAGCGTATGGTGAATAACCCCCCTCCCCGGGGTATCCCCCCACCCTACCCGGAGTGTGAGGGGTGGTATTGTCTGACCGCGTGTCAGCCGGGCGAGTGCCCAGGCCTAAAGCCGACACGGCTTCCTCTACCGACATATCCATAATAAAATATCACAATAAATCAGATAAAATCACATACAATACAAATTAATTCTGAAAGTTGATTCAAGAAATACATAAAAAACCAACACGTGCTCTCGCATACCTAGCAGCACCAAAAATGGCGGCTAAAACGATGCCTGAAAAAAAACCCAACTTTGACAGCAGTACGGGAATCTCCCGGGCCCCGCGAGTTGGGCGCCAGTAAAGTCTTTTGAGGTTCTTTACAAATATTTATTAACACATATACAGATCCGTAGGTTCTGGCCCGGGCCGACTCCCCGCTCCGCTGCTGTCCCTCACACGTCCTGTCAGCTCGGCATCCACGTGTAGAAGAGGTCCGTGCGACTGTCCCGTCGTCTGAAGTAATACAGACAGTAAGTTGTACCACGGGACAGTCGCACAGATACTACATTGTGAATATGTCGAGTTTTCTTCGTACGAGCGACAAAATACGGCAGATCAGCGTAATTATTAAATTGTACGAACACGTATTCTACTTGTTCTTTGGTTGAAGTTTTATATTTTATTGAATGCGATGGGTTCTTAAAACCATTGAATGGATCTTGTGTAACGTTTGTTTATATTAGAAGCGAGAAAATAATGAACTATTAATATGATTTACACATTTATACGATATTAAAATTAAAACACGTTCATAAATTTGAAAGGAATAGGGACGAACATGTAATTTCCGGATTTTTAAAAACAAACTATAATGCCAGTAAAATTACTACTTTATAGGACGAAATTCTTTATTCGGGGAACAAAATCAGCAGTTGATTTAATTTCTAACATTTATTGTTAGGCAGAAAAAGAAATTTTAATATTTGTATCCCTTATCGTTCCCCATCAGAATGCTAACTTGGCTGCTGTTAATAAGATTAACACTCATTAATGACATGCCGTTACTGGATATTGACGAGATGTTCAACACTTCAACATACAGCACAAGGGCATCGGCAAAGGGGCGGCGATCGCCGCCCCAATAATTTGGAGGAAAAAAATGAATTAAATGAGAAATACAGAATTGCAAAATTTGTAACGGCAATATCTGTGGTCAATGGAGCGGCGAGAATAACGGCAATCTGTGGTCAGCATGGTCAATGGAGCGACAAAGTGTGAAAGCTCTTGTCTACACGGACGCAAACTGGGATGTACGTGTAACGTTATGTATAATATATATTAAAGGCACCTTTACCAAGCGTGTGTAAACGACAAGCAGGATGTCCATCGCTCTTCATGTGGGTTTGCTACAAATTATAATCAAGGCCCACAGGAAGCAAGGTTTTTAGAAATTCTATTTCTTGGGGGTCGGGAGTGGGGGTTCTCTAAGTTTCCGGATTTTTTTTCTTTCAAATGCTGAAATTTGCCCCCTCCACCTCCTGCTTTCTGCCACTGAGTAGAAATACACTTTGCAAGGGGTTGCTGTATTGTGATGAAGTCAACAGGGGTTGTGTTTTGTAGAAATATCTCATTTCAGTATTTTATTTATTAGTGTGTACATTAGGATGTTTTCTATCTGGTTTCCTCAGCTCCAATAACCATGATAACAACTTCTTTGAAGCATATATTTGATTTACCCTTACATTATTTTGTCATCCAACATTTATTTTACTTTTTAATTTTAAAATATTATATCCAATTTAATGTAAAATCTTTGCTTTTATTAAGGTCTTTCGTCACAACGGAAGACCTTCTACTGATTCTGATGGTTAAGATTATTATTCTTTTTTTTTTCTTCTCCTTTCTAGACGCCAACTTTGAGACTTCATATCTCGCTCATTTCTCAACGGATTTTGCTCAAATTTGCAGGGTTTATAGACATTACAAAACTCTATCAGAATGCTGTCAAATATGTCAAAAATCCACTTCCGCTTTTGGGTTATCTCCCTTTAAATGAAAATTTCGGGGGTTTCGTTTCCAGACAAAGGCTCAGAGACTAAAAAAGCTGGAGCAGAAATACTACTGTATTTGAATAATAGAAGCATTGAAGTTGTGCACATCTATTTTTGTTTTTTTTATTTCTGCGTTCAAAATGGCGCTAGATAGGGGTCAAAAATTAGAACGCCTAAAAACGTGAAAATTTACACATATTTTCCTATGTATCTTTAAAACTAAAAATATTTTGTTAAGACATGTTGAATAAAAGTTGTGCACAATTTTAAGGTCTTTCATTTGGCACTACCAAAAAGGGGCTGGTCCCTAAAATTAGGGATCTAGGGGTCCTTGAAAGTTTTCGTTTTATAACTCAAAAACAGTAAATATTTCGAGATAACTGTCGCTTAAAAGTTGTTCTTTAACATATTATTGATCTCATGAACTTGTTATTTTGTTCGAGTCTTGTTTAATATATGAGCTAGAAGCTTGACCCATATACAGGTAACTAGTTTCATTAGACAAGTGAAGGTGAAATCTTTATGCGCATAACTGAAATAAACTTGCTATAAATGATAAACCTATCCAAAATAAATACTAATATTACTTTGTAATAAATTTTTACGTGTTCTGTGGCTTCATTCCAAATTATTGAGTCACACATTTTCAATACGTCTCGGGATTTGTTTTTGTTTATAATTACATAACCGATCACGCGTGACCTAGATCCAGTGATCAGTGGCCGTACACTAAACAGGCAATGCCTTTCTAAATCTATTTTGCAAACTCAACGATGCACGGATAACTGTGTTTTTTAATCATATCGGATCTTCAAATTATCTCATCTTATCTATGTTGGTCAAGTTGGTGATATACTTATTAAATTATTGTGGCGGAAATCACAAGAGATCCATTGCATGTGAACCAGCGACCTGCGTTCGTAAACAAAACATCTTTTAGTCGTTTAATGTTGAAACATACACTATATTAAATTTTAAAAAAGTTAGCAAAAAATAAATCAGTCTTTAACTGCATTTAACCGCATTTCACAAACATCCCGGGTTTTGTGTTTGTTTACAATTGCGTAACCTTTCCCTCGATAGCAGATGGCCGAGGTAGCAACTACATGTATTATTGCTCAAACACAAAACATTGTCGTTCTATATTCATTTTGCTTTTAACACAATGATTTACGGAAAATTATTTTTTAAATCATATCGGATCATTCAATTAAATCATTTAATCTTATCTTAATTTGATTTAATTTAAATCCAAAACATTTTATTAAGGGCGTATAAAGGTCCCCGATTTCATGAATCCTAATCTTAAAACTGCATACATGTACATGTATTTAAGAAACGATATATTTCTCAGTTATGTGTTATTGTGTGTTAAATTTCGGAGATTCATTGCGTGTGGTTAATTCTGCAGATAATTCTAACTTGACACACAAGGTTTGTAGACAAAGAATTCAAAAGAGATATATTTGAAAACAATAAGACGCATTGCTTAAAATTCTGACATATATTTTCATTTTAAAATGGCTATCTATATGATTACACCAGCTCTGAACATGCTATGTGAAAAACTCTGTCAACTAAAGTTTTGTAACTCCAGCATATGGCAAGTACGTGTGCTTTTATTAAACACCCAATTTTCCATTAACGCCCACGAAATCTACCTAGCTTAAGATCGATAATATACCGCCCGTCAATCATACAAAACAATAGCTGCTGGTTTGATTGACAGGCCAGCAACCTGTGCTACCTGATAGTCTGAGTTTGCATGCTTTGAAAGCAATTACATGTACCTGGTCATGCATCAAAGCTTTCATGTACCGCTTGAAAAGTCGATGTAAAGTAGTTTTTTATACACTCTGGTAAAAAAAACTTGTATATTGATTGGTAATTATATTTCAAAAAATAATTGAGAGAAGAGAATTAAACTTTGAGTTCATTATTTTATTTTCACTGCTGTTTTGTACACTGTTCTTGTACGCGATATGTCGTCCAAGATAATTGTACAGCTCTCCGAAGAAGAAGAAAAAAAAAAACTGGCGGCTATTCGAGCCCCTTTTCGCCTTCAATGTCTACCTGTTTACAGAGAAGAGATCGTAAATTTTCAATAAAATATTTCATATTATATGTAATTTGATTTGTATGTATGAGTATCTGAAAGGCTATATTGTGCTGATTTTTTTAAAATACATGTTTTATGTTATACATATTTTTTAGCATGCGATAAAATATCGGCAACACTTTAAGCTTATTTATTTCTAATGTCCAGAACTGTGTAACGTAAATGTCATGCATTTAAGAACTATGTTCACTTTTTATAATTTAATTCCACCTGCACGCGTGGTTCAAAAGAAAAAATGTACAAGGAGTACATATACATGGACTTGAATATAACAAACATATTAGCACACATGTAATGATGAAAATAAAAATAATTGATAATACACTTTTACAACTTCATTTCAATGATGAGTTCCTCTAAAACTTTACTTCAAATGTCAGAAAGGCCAGTACAGCCAAACTACTCTTAATTGTCTCTGTTTTAATTTCAATGTCAATCACAATAACTCTTTTCTTTAGATCCCTTCATTTCTTATTGGTACATAGTTACATGAAATTCGTGCACGGCGCTTCACCTGTCAATCAAAATTGTAAACTTCTGGTGCCACTGCTTTATAGACACAGTGCTTTACAGATAATGTAATATTTCGAAAAAACGTTTTAATTAAGGCTGAAGATGCATGCTGTGAATTTATGAAACCTGCAGTCCTAATTTACGATCCGTTCTTACATGTATATTATAATTAATCAGAAAGTCCAGTATTTGTGACAAGTTTTGATTGAGGTTTCACTCTCCCTTTAGAATAAAATGATTGATTAAATAGATTATGCACATGAGATGGATACCTGTACTACATATAAATGCATACTTTTCTCTTTGTAACAAGAATCTGTTATTGACAGTTGAAAGTGAAGAGTTTAGGTAAAAGACTTTGACAAATGACAAGTTATTCCTTCTTAGTCACTATATAGCTTCTTAGTCACTATATAGCTTAAAGCTATACGGTCGTGCCCCCCCCCCCTGCAATTATGTTTTAATTTTTCATTCATTTTTATTCTTATATATCAAAAAATTTTGATTGTTCCTGCCCCATCCCAGAAAAAAATGAAATTACTTTCTACAGGCTTGAGTCAGTACATAATGATATTACCTTTATAAAAATTGTTTCTACCCCTACGATTTGGAGTCGCAGTTTCGAAAACCACCACGTCGCCCGCGTGGCGCAGTGGTTTGAGCGTTTGCTCTAGAGTCGCGGAGTAGGGAGTTAATCTTTACGTCGCAGATTCGACTCCCTCTGCGGGATGCGGATCGAGACTGGTCCTTTGCATGAGACCGTATAAACCGAGATCCCCTGTAGCAGTAGATGCTGGCACGAAAAAGATCCCTCACTGCTCATTGGCCTTGAGTGTCGAGTATAGGTCTGAATTTGCAGCCCTCCACCGGCAAGTGGTGGCGTTTCCATATGAGTGAAAAATCTCGAGAAGGACGTTAAACAACACACAAACAAACAATTCCACTAAATAACGTGGAGTATGGTCCTTCGGGTTAGACCGTATAAACGAGGTCCTGTGTAGCAGTAGGTTCTGGCATGAAAAAAGATCCCTCACTGCTTAAAGGCCGTAAGTGCCGAGTACAGGCCTAAATTTGCAGCCCTCCACTGGCAATGCTGGCAGCTCAATGGACGTTAAACAACAAACAGACAATCAAACAAACATTTTTGTGTCGCCTGCAGAGCAGAGCAGCACTTAACGATCAATTTGCCTGGCGTCTGTCTGTCTGTCTTGCTGTCCGTCCGTCTGTCACACCTTATATCTCGAGAACTGTAAGAGGTATGGATTTGATAATTTGCACATATAGCTTGACACTATGGCTTTTGTATTTTACCATGGCTTCCGACCTAGATATCCGTGAACTTGACCTTTGACCTACTTTTCAAAATAACCAATAATGCCGATATACAACTTCTTTTTGATATTTTTAAAAGAGGTAAGTCTATGCTCTTTAGATTGTGTACTGTTTGTCATAAAACATTTTGAATAATACCAGCGTTACAGTCCACTTGACCTTGGACCTATTTTGCAAAATATACTGTGGAGGTTTAAATTTAACTTAAGTCTTTTGAAATTAGAGAGGCAGGGGTTTGATAATTAATATTTATACATGTTTATGTGCTCATGACAATGCATTTTGACACTGTATG